AGAAAGAGAAAGAGAAAGAGAAAGAGAAAGAGAAAGAGAGAGAGAGAGAGAGAGAGAGAGAGAGAGAGAGAGAGTGTTACCCGTCTTGATACTGTAGCATTAGCCCTCTCTTTCAGCTGAGGATCTGTAGGCAAGTTCAACCATATGATATAAGGTGTATCATACTTTGCTCGTAGTCTTGGGCATCGTTTGAAGACGAAATCGATCAGAAAAAATTTAATTCCTGCATAAAGTCCTGCAGAATTAGAAAGTCAAAGATTGGGATGAGGAAAGTGTCAGAATTGAACTATGAAAACAAGATTATACTATAAATATTAGGGCTGTGCAAATACTCTGAAAGAGATCTTTAGCAATACGCAGGAGCATATCTCAAGATCCTTCCTTGGGATCATTAAAGCAGCTGCCTCTTTTTCCAGCATTACATGGCTGGTTTGGAAGTATCTCCACATAGTTGTTCTGCCTCCCACACCCAAATTCATCCTGAAAGCAAGTTTGCAAGGTGAGAAAGGCTCAGAGATACTCACCCAACGTTTGTAATAGCCGCTATTTAAAAATAGGAGTTTCAAATTTTATTGCAACAAATGGCCAAGCAAGAACTTCTGTAAGCTTCTAAACTTGCTGTCCAGCAGGATTCTATCAAGCAGCTCCACAAGAAATCATGATTGGGAAAACCATCTAAGAACATTAGAGTAAAACTGGACAGGGGCTGGTGTGGGTCTTCCGGGCTGTGTGGCCGTGTTCTGGAAGTTTTGTCCTGGGCACAGAGAGAACTGTTCCTGCTGTCTGAAGATGCCGGTCTGTGCTCCTGCTCTCTGAAGATGCCGGTCACAGATGCTGGCGAAACGTTAGGAAACAAAACTTCCAGAACACGGCCACACAGCCCGGAAGACCCACATCAGCCATTGTATTCCGGCCGTGAAAGCCTTCGACAATACATTGGCTAGAATTTGCCAATATTTAAAAAGTCTCTTCTGCTGTGTTTTAACAGAACATAAAAAATT